GCAACATACTATTTTTGATGTCTTTTATACATAAATATGTGTCCCCGGTGTGTAAGGAGACCCACAAAGTGTCAGAAAATACAACCCTCTCTCTTTTCCTCCTTACCCACATCTCTAAAAGCGGGGGTTCAACAGAACTGATTCAGATTTGCTGCGGTCATGACGTCATAACTCAAATGTGGGCTGGCTTTACGTTGGCTATCTGAATTCCCTCCAGCAGCTACGTGTCTGTGTATTCAGCAGGATGTCTACGGGAGGGACTTAGAGTAAAGTTGTAAATATAACATATAAATATAAAACATACAATGGCACTGTTCTAGCCGTAAACAATGATGAAAGAAGCTATGTGCTGTTTCAGAACAATGTGCACCTTGTTTTGGAAGTAATATGGTATGTGTTTACATTAGCAAGCATTGCTAACGCTGTACTGGAGAGAACATGTGTAAAGAAGCTGGATATGTATGTATATATGTGGTAAACTCGCGAGAGAGAACGCGTTTGAGCTCCATACTGTTTCAGAAATAATCCTTGATGTGGTTTGGAACATGATATGAATAAAGAAGAATAGAAGAATGGGAGCGATGAAACCCTCTTTAATGGTCACACATGCAGAGCACACAGTGAAATGTGGCCTCTGCATTTAACCCATCCTACTAGGAGCAGTGGGCAGCTGTTGTACAGCTCACTGCTTGCATGCGGACGGACGCTCCAAAGGGGCGTGACCAGCAGCAGCTCCAAAGGGGCGTGACCAGCAGCAGCTCCAAAGGGGCGTGGCCAGAATCAGCCCTTTAGTAACAGGGCTGAACAAGAGGAGTATGAGATATGCTACAATGGATGATCTGTTGGGGATTTTGAGCAAAACATTTCCGAAACAATATATTGTTCAAATATAGCATAATAGCTGAGCTTTAAGAACTCAAACACCATTTAATAAAATATGTAATAGCTTTTAGGAAATACTACAATAAATACACTTTCGAAGGATATAGCTGGCGGAATAAAAAAATAAATAATATAATGGATATTTGAATATCCATATAATAAATATGGCAAATTAAATAAAGATGTAATTTTATTAATTCAATAATCACAAAATATTGTAAATTATACTGTTGATGTATTTATTTTTTTAGCACATAATGGTATTTAGCTAGTATTTATTTGTATAATTTGGCAGCTCTTGTCCTCCATATAATAGACTAAACATGATGTTGATGGGGTCTCTTTTTCTAGTTCCGTCTGGCAAGGCCAATTATTATCTGACTCATGGAGACACCAATGAGAACATGTTAATGTCCTGCCGGGGACGTATTGGAGCCCCTGCATTGGCAATAAAAGCTGAACACCACTGAGGCCTGCAGAGAAATAAGGTGGTGGGGGTACGAGACGCAGTCGTTCAGCAGGCGTGTTCAGCAGGCGTGTTCAGCAGACCATAACTGTGACTCCTTCGCTCTGTGACAGAAGTTCTGTTGATGATTTATTGGACAAACAATGCCCCGGTCGCTTCTTTACTTTTTCTGCAGTGCAAAGGATGATTCTTACTCGGCTCATCTATTAGGTGAACAAATTCAGCATGTCTGTTACGACCCTGGTCGTTATGTGTATTGTGTGTAGAGATTTCCTTCAAGTCTTTTAGTCCTTCAGAATTATTAGGTAGGTTTAGTAGTAGGCATGGTTAACAAAACTGTGAGTTAGTGTCTTAAGGGGGGGGTGTCACGGCTGCTGCTGTCTGCTCGTTAACCTGTCTGGGATTGTTTTCAGCTGTGTATGTTATATGTATATGAGATGTGCCGTTGCCCGGACGCCATTGGATGCCAGTTTCCTGTCCCTCCTCCGGTAGGCGTGACAGCAGGTCGGACCCGACTCACCAATCCCTGCCCACACCTTCCGGGGACTCTTACAAGAGTGTGTGCATCTCAATTAGACAGGAGAGGTCTGAATCTGTGTCAGACGTCTCTCGGTGCTCTCCTTATGTTCTGTGCTAGTTCTGCTACAGTGGTTAGTTAGGGTGTGTGCTTAAGTGTGTATTCTGTGATTTGTGACGGCGTCGAACTTGTGCGAGACGCCTCACTATTTTAGCCTTAAGTGCCCATAGTGCGCTATGACTGTGATAATCTGTGGCCTTCGTTTTGTGTAGCGTTATTTTGAACAGATAGCTGGTTTTAAGAGTCTGTATTTTTGGTTATATCATCATTTTGAGTTTATTATTAAAATCAACCTCTTACCAAGAACACCTGCTTTCGTGTTGCTTCCCTTTTACCCTAAGCGAGCTGGGGACGTAACAATGTCACATATTTATTCATCTCTCCCCTGTACACTTGCATGAATAGAATAGCTCTTTCCTATTAATAAAGCTTTTGGTAGATCTGATTTAAATATTAGCCTGCTTCCTAATGTTCGAACATGATATCCTGGTGACTCACATACTGTACATTTTGTTCAGAAAGAAGTACCGAATGACATGACGCACATAGCCGTTAACACATTGGGATATTGTTACCTTGGTTTTCTTTTCCTGACGAGTCACTGCCGATGTGATGGAAAACGGTGTAAAGATTAAGCTGGATCCATTTATGTCTGTAAGTATTATAATAATTACAATTTTAATTGTCTGCAATTTCTAAACATGCAAGCGAGAGTTTGATTTCATGAACAATAAAAGTGTCATAAAATCCTTATTTCATTTTTATTTATTGTTGAAGTTGTTTATTCTTGAATTGTGAGTGAGTATATAATGTTTCCCTGCACACACACACACACACACACACACACACACACACACACACACACACACACACACACACACACACACACACACACACACACACACACACACACACACACACACACACACACACACACACACACACACACACACACACACACACACACACACACACACTAGGGCTGAACGATTAATCAATTTTAAATTGAAATCGCAATTTGAAATGATGCGATTATCAAATCGCAAAGCCTGCAATATTTTTTTTTACATTTTTGTTTTCTTCTTGTGTGTCAGTCATCCACACCAATCAGAAGTGCTGTGCTCCACATGTACCAGCCATTGTTAACCAATCAGAAGTGGCCCATGATAGAAGGTGATAGACAGATTGATCCAATCACCTGCCAAGTATTTTTGAAAGTGCCTGCCCTTTCCAAATGGCTTCCAATGGAGCTTTCCAAGATGGTTTGGTGAAACAAAGCATCTGAGTCAGGTTAGTAATGCTCCATCACATGTTCTATATCTATTACAGGGTGAATCTTAAACTGAAGCTTGACTTTAAATCAGGGGTGGGGAACCTTTTTCCTCTCAAGGGCCATTTCAATTTTTTCAACATCCTCCGAGGGCCGTACAAATTATTGACCTCTGCTTACAAATCACAGCCCATTCATTTGGCCTTTCTTTCATGCTGTGCAAAGAAAAAGCAACCTCTTAATCCAGATATCTCACCATGACTCGCGCATGCATGCACGTGCACGGTGTGGCATGACCACCAAACAGAAAGATATGGACACAAGATGTGTGCAAATGTATTTTGTTTCCTATCCATGGACATTATTTAAGTGGGGGGGACCTAACCTCCTCTAGGGGGGTCCAGGGGGGCATGTTCCCCCGGGAAGATTTGTTTTTAAATATTGAAGTTAAAAGCATCAATCTGGTGCACTTTGAGAGCAACATGAAGAGATCTATGGAAACATCTCTCAACACCCATTTGAAACAGAACTGGAAGCAGATTTACTTTTTCTTTATGGATATTTTACAAATCACTCCCCTTTCAAACTGTATTCTTGTTTATTAATAACAACTTTTTTTTACTGTCATATAGTATTTTATACCTGTTTATTTTATTCTCTTATATTTTGATAACTATAATGATCATATAAAGATGTGCCTTTACCTCACTGGTTGGAGTAAAAGCTTCTTATATTCATTAGCATAGCTAGCTAACCAGATGCTAATAACAACAAAGTTATGATCAGGATGACAGATGAACAGATCGCCACTGGGCTTTCAACTAAAGACACAGCCACGCAAAAACTGCAGCATGTGTACGGACCGGTACGGATTTATGGGTACTGCCATTTTTTGAAGTGCCGGAGCGGCGTTCTGGTGCTCTCCGTCAGAATTGCACCCCCGTCAGACGAGACATATACCACGTGATGACACGTTAGGCTCGTGTTGTGTTCAAGGACCATGACCGTTGCCAGGAAAAACAGGTACTCGCTTGTTTAATTATTTTGCGGTCTAGATTTCTTTAATTTTTTTCTTTTTTGCGTGTGTTTATAAATTACCTCGAGGGCCATACCAAATGGTCTCGCGGGCCGTATACGGCCCGGGGGCCGGAGGTTCCCCACCCCTGCTTTAAAGCAACCCAACAGAAGTTTCATGTAAGTTTAGTTCTTTCACTCGTAGCTCGGGCTGCGGGGGTGCTAGAGACGGGAGCACGTTGATACGACCTTCCTAGCCGGAGTTATGGCCGCATTTTACAATAAACTTCCGTTGGGTTGCTTGAAAACAAATATCGCAAATCGAATCGCAATATTTGTCTGTAAAATCGCAATTTGATTTGTTCCCAAAAGCGTGCAGCCCTAACACACACACACACACACACACACACACACACACACACACACACACACACACACACACACACACACACACACACACACACACACACACACACACACACACACACACACACACACACACACACACACACACACACGCACGCACACACACAGGTTATGGGTTCATAGCAATCCCGAATTCAATGGGAAAAGTAGAATAACAGAATGGAGAATGACAATAAATTGTGTGTGTGTGTGTGTGTGTGTGTGTGTGTGTGTGTGTGTGTGTGTGTGTGTGTGTGTGGCGGTTAATGGTGGGGGCAACAAACAAGAGAGGGAGCGAGGGATAGGGAGAGGGGAGAGAGTAAGAGGTGGGTGAACACCAGCGCTCAAATACTGGAAGTCAAGCAGCTGTGACGCACTGAAGCACCAAAGCAGTCAAGAAGTGCTGAAATTGCCTCCAGGATGCAGAAGAAATATGATGTTAACTCATCTTCTCACATTTCTTCAAATTGTCTCCATCCTTAGCCCATAAGGAGCTCATAAACTGCAGGTACGTTTTGTGTTTGTTTTCGTGACATGAAATTATCTTTATAACTCTGTAGGCTGGTGAATGGAAAGCGTAATCCTTTGTATAATCTAAACAAAAGACTCTCAAGAGGCTGTGTTCTGCTGACAATAAACTATGGATAAAACAACATTAGATTGGATTATATAGAAGACTTTATTCATGTCAAATGTGGGGACTGTTTAACATTCTGAGGGACAGCATTGTTATTAACTTAGCAAGAACATTCTACAAATCCTTTCTTTCTTTATATGTTAAAAGCTTTTTTGGCTTGAAGTTGCTTGGACTTATGAAAACAGTTTCTCTAATAGAAGCTATACCAAGAGCTGCTTGGTACCAGAAGTATGTGAACTCATCTGTTTGCATATAGAGCTAGAGTTAGGGTTTTATGCCTTGGGGAAATATTTTGCTAGCTACAAAGATGTTGGCAACAGTTTGACATTACATTTTCTGAAACTAATACTGCTGCAAAGAATACATGCAGTCATCAGAAACACCCCAACCCAAAACAACTGCTGATAAATAGTTTGAGAGAGAAAGTCTGAAAGTCAGCAGTGGAAACCGATCCAAAATCGTATTGCCCTCAAACATTTTTCCACCTATAGAGCCAAAAAAGTCATTATCTTTTGGAATGTAATGAGTAAACTACACATCATGTGAAAAATGTGTGGAGGTATTATTTAAAGTCACCCTTTCTCTTCTCTCCATTAGGTTTAGAACCCAATTTACCTTCCGGTCAATCAACAAAATGCTGCAGCGTAACTGCTCCCTCACTGCTCTTTTCACACCTGATGCCACAGTCCTCAGTGACGTGGGCTGCCCCGACGCTTCTGTGATGTGTGGGATGAATATCTCCTGGGTGTTGGCTAATGCTACTGCTCAGGATCTGTATGACATGTGTTTAAGCGAGGAGGAGTACCTATCCATGCATCTGGGCCCGGTCAGGTCCCCTGTGTTCCTTCCTGTCTGTGTCACCTACCTTACCATCTTTATGGTGGGCGTACTGGGCAATTCTCTCACCTGCACTGTGATTTTGCGCAACAGGGTGATGCAGACGCCCACCAACTACTACCTGGTGAGCCTGGCAGTCTCTGACCTGCTGGTGCTGCTGCTGGGCATGCCATTAGAGCTCTACGAAATGTGGCAGAACTACCCCTTCCTGCTCGGGGAGGGCGGTTGCTACTTTAAAACCTTCTTATTTGAGACTGTCTGCTTCGCTTCCATCCTTAATGTTACAGCGCTGAGCGTGGAGCGCTACATGGCGGTGGTGCACCCCCTCAAGGTCAAACACATGACCACACAGGCTCACGTAAAGAGGGTCATCTTCATGCTGTGGGTGCTTTCCATGCTGTGTGCTGTGCCAAACACTAGTCTGCATGGCATTGTGGTGCTGCCTTCATGGTTTGGACGAGAGTTCCCCCGATCTGCTATCTGCCGTACGTATACATTTATTCATCTAGATTATTTTTGGTGCTATTTTTACAGATTTGTGTTAGCATTAGCATGGTATCATGTGGTAATTGCACTTAGAAGAAAGTACAGCTTATTTCTACCAAAAATTATTGGACACATTTAAATGTTGAACTAACGATTGTGCAAATGAAATGTCAGATGGTCCCTAAAGTATTTACCATTGATCCTTTGAGGAAGAATATTATATGTACAAAATGTCATATCAACCCTTCAAACATTTTACGATGATTGTGTTATGTCACGTTTTGGGTGTTTTGCTGTTCTCCCTGTCATGTTTTCTCCCTTGTGTATTGTCTGGTCCTTCTCCCTGTGTTTTTCCCCTGTCGTTAGTTTCCCTGGTGTGTCTAGTTGTCTGATTGTGTTCACCTGTTGTCCTTGTGTTTCTCCTCCCCTGCCCGGCTGTTTCTCGTCTTGTGATTACCCCTCCCTGTATTTAGTCTTGTCCCTTCCTGTGTTCAGTGTTGGTTCGTCTTTTGTGACTGAGTTCACCGGTGAGTGTTCTGTCTTGTCCTAGTATTTTTTCGTTATCCTTGAAATAAAGGCATTTTCAGCGTTATCTGCATTTGGGTCCTGCTTGCTTCACCCACCGTAACAAAAAAGCTAGTTGACATTTCAACAGAAAATAAATAAACAATCACAGGTGAATCAACCAGGGAAAGATCATTGAAGACATTAAGGTACATTGTATGGCCAACATTAATGTCTGTAACACATTTGATGATAAAACATTGAAAAAATAGCGTGTATCCCCTGGCCACCATGAATATCTGTAACAAATTCCCTTTATCAGGTAGTGGTAAAAAAAATCTAAAACATCAGCCTGCTAATGACGCTTAGCGAAAAGTCAATTCCCAAAGGATTTGGAGTCATGCTGCTTTCTTATAAGGGCTAACTGGTTATGTAATGTATGAAGCTATAATGGCCATGGTACACCTGGGTCCTTGAGCTGACTAACACATTGTGTGTTACATCTCCATCCACAGATGTGATTAAGCCCATCTGGGTGTACAACCTCATCATCCTGATTTCCACGTTGGTGTTCTTCCTGCTCCCCATGATGATAATCAGCATCCTCTACCTGATTATTGGTGTGCGGCTGCAGAGGGACAGGTTGATGACTGTGGTGGACACAAGCTTTGGACCGGAAAGTCTCTCCAGGTCCCACAAGCAGAAACTGAGCAAACGCAACCTGCAAGTCACCAAAATGCTGTGTGGGTTTCATTTTATGTTGCTTGATTCAATGTTGCTAAATAGAAACAAACTGAAATTCAATTCACCATATCTGCGTGTGTCTTTCCACCCATTGTTCCCATATGAAGATATTCTTTAAAGGCTATATTTTTAGTAACATGTCCATCTGTCCAAGCTATGTCTTGCAGTCGGTTTCATGTTGGTGATTGGATTGACAGTATGATTGAAATACTGTAATGTCCAGGAAAACCTCTGATTCTGAAAAGTGAGGCCAATGACACGTTGCCTTAAACCTGTATTCTTTTAATGACCAACACAGGGCAACTCTACTGGTTGCAAAAATAATTCAGATTGTATAGAAGTCTATAATCAAGCTTTCTTCAAAAAGGGCTGATGTTCATTCAATTGTGGTTCAAGTGGGATGTGCTTTGTTGTCTGGTTACATTATGATTGACAGATCAATACCAACATTTTTTGTTTTGTTTTCAGCATGTCCCTAGCAAAACATTCCCAAACACTATTAGAGTTATCAAGAACTAAGAACATACCGTGCTATCCAAGTTAACTAGCTAGCGCTAGTTTGAGCTGGAAATTCAGTGTTTTTGTTTGTCTTACGGTACATGGTATTCTCCAGCTCTATCTTCCTGTTCAAATATGGTCACTTCTGGCACCAAATAATTGAGATGGTGGTGATGAAAATGCCCATCTTAGTGCTTCTAAATGTTAGTCCATAAACTTCAAAATGTGAGTCCATAAACAACTGTGTGAGGTCAAAGTGGCTATAGGCAGGGGCGGACTGGGGGGAAAAAGTGGCCCGGGGATTCATTGACAGACAGGCCCACTTAATGCGCGGCATGTATCGGCCGGCCGGCGACGAAAGTATGTTACTTAACAAAAAACCCTATGCATTTTATGTTATTTTGGACAATTATTCATATAGTAATCACATTAATTGAGCCCTTGAGTTGCCTAGAGCAAAATAGTTACAGCATATATTTAGTGATTTTAATGTTAACAGATCATTGATGCAATAACAACAAAAATGGGAGTGGCCGGAACACTTACAAATGTGGGCCGGTAGGATTTAGGCAAAAAAAAATATTATTTATTTTATTTTTTGGCCCTCCGGCCCACACACAGCACCAGCCCACCGGGGAAACCCCCGGTATTCCCAATGGCCAGTCCGCCCCTGGCCATAGGTTACAGTTTATGGTCCAGGAATATTACAGTGTATACAATTTGTGTCTCCCCATTTGACCATTAATCCCTTACACTATCCATCTGGCCTTCTCAGGTGTGCTGGTGATTGTGTTCGGACTTTGCTGGGCCCCCTTCCATGTGGACCGCCTGATGTGGAGCTACATTGATCCCTTGTCCGAGCAGCACCTCCAGGTCTTCGAGCTCGTCCACATCATCTCCGGGGTCTTCTTCTACCTGAGCTCTGCCATCAACCCCATCCTCTACAACCTCATGTCCACCAGGTTCAGAGAAATGTTCAGTCACGTTACTTGTTATCATAACAGCTGGCCCGCACGCTTCAGCCAACAGATGACCCAACGCAGCACCTTGAGTGAGAAAATGCCCAGCAGTACTTAGTTTTGGCCAATGGAAATTCAAGAACTGTATACATGGATAGGTGATCAATTAAGACCTGGGAGTAGAGAAGTGCAGATAGTAGGCCTACATGGAATAAAGGGTCATTGAATGGTTTAGTTTGGACAAATGTATGGATTTTATTACCTATACGCCATCATTGCCAGATCTCATTTCAAGCTACCAGTATCAGCAACACACCACTAGTAGAGCAAAGAGACTTGAAGAATGTACAGCAGGAATAATTTAAGCTCATCTAAAGGCAGGGTTTGCTTTAACAATAATTACCCGGTATTGATTGGGAAATCTGTTGACCTCAGAAATATTTAAAGCTCTCCTTCCCTGGTGAAATGGTCAAATCAATTCCCCTTACGCACAATTTGAATTTGATAAGAGGCTAAAATATTTTTAAATATTTTTTTCTATTAAGACAAAAAAATTGAACACATTGGTTACATTACGTTACATTTAATTTAGATGAAGCCCAAGCGACAAGAGCAATCAGCCTTGAGGTTAGGAATTCAGAACAACAATTTGAACAGCGTGTGTTAAAAGAAACAAGAAGGGTAGGCTAAACCAATGTCTGTCACGCTATGAGCAAGGTGGATCATTCCAGCCTCCCAATATCAACACCAATGCAAGCAAGTCTAAAAACAATGACTCAATGAGTATGAGTTACAGTCTGAAGTCATAGAGATTGCTGTTGCCATGGCTTGGCATACCCATCAATTGTTTTCAAGCTCACGAAACTGATTTGACCAATATTTCTCCATGACATTAACATCTTCCAGGACGATAGACCTGCATTCATTATTTTCTAAGCGGAACCTTGCCTCACTTGCGGCATTCCACTTTTTTTTCTTCTGTTATACAAGGTCCTCAAACAGAAGGTTATTACCCTCTAATATCACGATTCTTATGTCCTCTTCTCGAGTCTCCCCTCGAGTTCCCTCTCAAGTCCCCTCTCAAGTTCCTTCTCAGGTCCCCTCCTCTCAAGTCTCCTCTCGAGTCCCCTCTCAAGTCCCCTCTCGAGTCCCCTCTCGAGTCACCTCTCCATTCCCCTCTCGAGTCACCTCTCAAGTTCCCTCTCGAGTCCCCTTTAAAGTAATCTCTCGAGTCCCCTCTCAAGTCTCCTCTCGAGTCTCCTCTCGAGTCCCCTCTCAAGTTCCCTCTCGAGTCCCCTCTCAAGTCTCCTCTCGAGTCTCCTCTCGAGTCCCCTCTCAAGTTCCTTCTCAGGTCCCCTCTCGAGTCTCCTCTCGAGTTCCCTCTGGAATCCTCTTTCAAGTCATGTCTCGAGTTCCCTCTCAAGTCACCTCTCCAGTCTCCCCTGAGTTCCCCAGCCGCGGTCTTCGCCCTCGAGCCCGGCCCCCTGAATGCCGCGGTCTTCGCCCTCGAGCCCGGCCCCCTGAGTGCCGCGGTCTTCGCCCTCGAGCCCGGCCCCCCTCCACCCACCCTTTTCGAAGTTTGGACTTTGTTTGTGTGTTTAGGGACGTCTAGAATCCGTCCCTTGAGGGGGGGGGGGGTTCTGTCACAATTCTTATGTCATGTCACGGTTTTAGTTTTGTGTCTGGTAATGGGTTTTGTTTTGCTGTTCTTTTCTCCCTGTGTTTTCCACCCTGTCGTTAGTTTCCCTGATGTGTCTGATTGTCTGATTGTGTTCACCTGTTGTCCTTGTGTTTCTCCTCCCCTGCCCGGCTGTTTCTCGTCTTGTGATTACCCCTCCCTGTATTTAGTCTTGTCTCTTCCTGTGTTCCCCTGTCGGTTCATTGTTTGTCTTTCCCTTCATGTCACGCTCCATGTTTGTCCTTGAAGTTTTGGTCCTGGATTATTTACTCCCCTGTTTTGGTAATGCTAAGTTTGTCTCGTTTTCTTTTTGTCATCGGCTTTTTTTGTAAATTAAAGCTCGCTTTTTGTTAATACTGCATTTGGGTCCTACCTTTTCCACACATCCTGACATCTAAGTGGTATGATAGAGAATGTTACATGGCGCTGAACAGATGTTTTCCCATATAGATACAACCAAAGGCTACTTGACAAGCCTCATGAGGTGCACTTCAGAAAAAACAAGCTAAGCTCCGGGACAGCCCTCCAGTCTCCAGAAATATATACAGTAACTCAAAACCTATTAGAGAGAGGACCTATAGGACGTAATGAAGCGCAAAAAGTGATGAGATCGACCTCTCTTGGCGCCAATGTTCCAGTGAACAATGACATTATCATATAAATGATACAACAGCATTGTTATTCATGGGAATACAACCCATCGACTGTCTCAACATTCCAAATCGGGTACAGTAGTTAGAACTGACGCCTGACACCAAGAAGGGTTTAATCCTTACTGTCTGGCGTTTGCATTTTCTCCCTGTGATTGTGTATGGCTAACTGTTGTTGTACATGATAAATGTATTTATTGTGTATATTGTGAAGCAAAACAATTCCAGGCTGGCTTATTATGAAGCTTTCATATGAAAGAATAAATGTACCATGTATCCTGTATAAAAAAGAGCATTTCTCTAGGAAAGTGTAATGGGTGAAAAGTGATGTAAGGCCCCCCAAAGGATCTTCACTTTGGGATCTTGGTCACCGTGTAGTTTTTTTTTTTTTTAAATGAATGACCACCTCGCTGTATATTATCCCGCTTATTACACAACTTTCTACTAATTATACCAACAACTTGACTGAAAAAAATTATTTAAAAATATTTGGTTGATTTAAAAAACTATCGTATTGCTTTCGCTAATAACAAATATTCTGTCCCACTGCGTACCAAAACCTGGAGTGGCGTAACAGCAATGTAACTTAAAATGGCGACAGCGCAGATCGAGGTTTTCTGTAACCCCTAAATTCCACCGGGTCCGTCTGCGTCGCGTTACGGCTGCGCCGCGGCGTCCGCAAGGATCGCGGCCACTCTAGTCAATGGGTGCTATTCCACCAGACGCGCCGCGTTACGGCTCAGAAGCGTCCCAGAAGCGTCTCCTCAAAATAGGATTGAAGTCTATTTTTCGACGCAACGCAAGGCGTTGCAGAGGTGCCGGGCAGGAAATGGACCGGTCAGAGCATCCGGCCCATCCCCAAAATAAACTAATTTTGCAGACCCTATCCCTCCGTAGTCTTTCAAGTAAGGCAAGGCAAGGCAAGGCAAGTTTATTTATATAGCACTTTTCAACACAAGGCAATTCAAAGTGCTTTACAAAAAATGAAAGACATTAAGAAAATGACATTTAAAATCAGTCATTAGCTAATAAAATAAACATTAAAAGAAAAAATACATGGATAAAAGTTACAGTGCAGTCTAAGATATAAATAGTTCAATTAAACATTAAAAGAAAAAGTACATGGATAAAAGTTACAGTGCAGTCTAAGATATGAATAGTTCAATTAAAAGCAGCGACAAAAAGAAAAGTCTTCAGCCTGGATTTAAAAGTAGTCAGAGTTGCAGCGGACCTGCAGGTTTCTGGGAGTTTGTTCCAGATATTTGGAGCATAATAGCTGAATGCTGCTTTACCATGTTTAGTTCTGACTCTGGGGACAGAAAGCTGACCAGTCCCTGAAGACCTGAGAGATCTGGATGGTTCATAATTTAGCAGGAGGTCAGAAATGTATTTTGGGCCTAAACCATTCAGTGCTTTATAAACCAGCAGCAGTATTTTGGAAATCTATTCTTTGACACACAGGAAGCCAGTGTAAAGACTTCAGAACAGGAGTGATGTGATCCACTTTCTTGGTGTTAGTGAGGACTCGAGCAGCGGCATTCTGAATCAGCTGCAGCTTCCTAATAGATTTTTTAGTGAGACCTGTGAAGACACCATTACAGTAGTCGAGTCTACTGAAGATAAAAGCATGGACAAGTTTTTCCAAATCCTGCTGTGACATTAGTCTTTTAATCCTAGATATGTTCTTTAGGTGATAGTAGGCTGATTTAGTAACTGTTTTAATGTGACTGTTGAAACTCAGGTCAGAGTCCATGACTACACCTAAATTTCTGGCTTTATCTGTTGTTTTGAACATTGCACACTGAAGCTCAGCGCTAACTTTGATACGTTCTGACTTGGCTCCAAAAACCATTACCTCAGTTTTATCTTTGTTTAATTGGAGAAAGTTCTGACACATCCAGTCATTGATTTGTTCAATGCACTTACTCAGTGTTTGAATTGGAGCATAGTCTCCTGGTGAAATTGTTACGTACATTTGTGTGTCATCTGCATAGCTATGGTAACTTATTTTGTTGTTTTTCATTATCTGAGCCAGTGGTAGCATGTAGATGTTAAAGAGAAGAGGCCCCAAGATGGAGCCTTGAGGTACCCCACATGTCATATTTGTCAACTCAGATGTGTATTTACCTATAGAAACAAAGTTGTTTCTGTCCTTTAAGTAGGATTCAAATCAATTTAGAACTGTTTCCGAAAGTCCCACCCAGTTTTCCAGTCGGTCTAGTAATATGTTGTGGTCAACAGTGTCAAACGCAGCACTGAGATCTAATAATACTAACACTGAAGTTCTGCCACTGTCTGTGTTTAAGTGGATGTCATTAAAGACCTTTACAAGAGCAGTCTCAGTGCTGTGGTTTGGACGAAAGCCTGACTGGAACACATCAAAACAGTTATTTAAATGCAAGAAATTACTCAACTGTTGAAAAACAACTTTTTCAATGATTTTACCTAGAAATGGGAGGTTTGATATGGGCCTGTAATTGTTCATTACTGAAGCATCTAGATTATTCTTTTTAAGAGCGGTTTAATGACTGCAGTTTTCAGGGCCTGTGGAAAAATACCTGAGTGAAGAGATTTGTTTACTATATGAAGTAGATCTGAGGCCATGCAAGGCAAAACATCTTTGAAAAATCCTGTTGGAATAATATCAAGGCAGCAGGAGGAGGATTTCAGAAGTTGTATAATGTCCTCTAGGTTTTTATCATTAATCTGATGGAATTGTGTCATGATGTCTGAATTGATGTTAAGTGGACACAGAGACAACACATTTGCTGTTCCTGATGCAGAGGCACTGACTGCTTGTCTGATTTTCTGAATTTTGTCAGTGAAAAAGGCAAAATCATTGCACGCCCTGGTGGATAGAAATTCAGAGGCTACTGACACTGGGGGGTTAGTTAGTCTGTCGACGGTAGCAAACAAGGCACGTGCGTTGTTTTTGTTTTTGGTAATGATGTCAGAGAAGAACGATTGTCGTGCGTTTTTCAATTCCAAATTATAAAGGCCAAGTCTCTCTTTATAGATTTCAAAGTGAACCTGGAGTTTTGTTTTTCGCCACCTGCGTTCAGCTTTTCGACATTCTCTTTTTTCTGTTTTCACGGTCATGGCCTTTCTCCATGGAGATATTTTCTTGCCAGACACTTCCTTTAGCAATGGCATCTATAACATTTTTAATTTGTTTATTAAAATGATCTACTAGCTCATTTACTGAGATGTTAGCAGGGGCAAGTGTGGAAGAAAAATTCTGAGTAAACATTTCCCTAGTGTTTTCAGTTAAATATCGCTTTGTGGTTACCTCTTTTTGAACATTTTTGTGAACAGAAATAGAGCTCTCAAAGAAAACACAGGAATGGTCAGAGAGTGCAACATCAGTCACCACAACCTTAGAGATATTCAGACCCTTTGAGATAATTAAGTCCAGAGTGTGCCCCTTATTGTGCGTGGGCTCCGTCACATGCTGAGTCAGTCCATAGCTATCAAGAACACAAAACAGTTCTTTAGCCCCTCTGTCCTGGGGGTTGTCAACATGGATGTTAAAATCACCAACAATGACTAGACGGTCAAAGTCAATACACACTATAGACAGCAGTTCAGTAAAGTCATCAAAAAAGCTTGCACAGTATTTGGGTGGTCTATAGATATTTAGGAACAGAGCTCGAGAGGAGCATTTCAGCTGAAGGGCCACATATTCAAAATAATCAAAGTTTCCATA